CCCTCCAGCCCCGAGTCGCTGTCCCTCAACCATTTTGACGAGGGCAACCAGGTGGAGGGCTCCGACAGCATCATCGTGAAAGGCTACACGGCAACACTGGTCGACCTGCTGCTCTCGTCCATCAAGGCGCGCGGCGGGAAGGTGCTGCTGGGCGAGAAGGTCACTGGAGTGACATATGGAGCCGACGGCGTCACGGTGAGGAGGAGGGGAGGTGACTGTGGTGGCGCCTCGGCCTCGGGGTCGCGTTGGGGTCTGCGGGCCAGCGGCTGCCTGGGGAAGGGAGGGCGTGTGACGGAGTGGGCGGGACAGCTGGAGGGCAGGGGCGTGCGCACGCGGGTGCTCTATTGAGCAGCGCACGCGTGGCGTCAGCGCTGGCAGTATCAATCCCAGTGACCCGGCATATCAAGCAAAGCGCCGTCTCTGCGCGCGCGCGCTGTTGGTGCGGCCCCACGCCGCTGTCTGCACGCCCTCGCTCTCACTCCTCCCGCACATCATCCACCACGCGCCAGGTGACCACCGCCGGCAAATCCTACAAGGCGACCTTCGCCGTTGTCACCCTGCCCCTGGGCGTCCTCAAGGCCGGCGCCGTGAAGTTCACGCCCCCGCTGCCGGCCGACAAGACCGGCGCCATCAACCGCCTGGCGATGGGCACCCTCAACAAGGTCATCCTCTCGCTGCCAGCTGCCGCGAAGCTGCCGAGCGTCAACTGGATCTCGCGCATCCCGCTGGCGTCGGACAAGGGGCGTTGGCGCGAGTTCTTTTCGCTGAAGAAGGCCACGGGGCGGCCCGTGGTGGTGGCCTTTGTCGCGGGTGAGTGGACATCGGGCGCGTTGACTGTGATTGGCGAGGGTGCGTGTCAAGGGGTGCAGGGCGCCGGGCGGACAGCGGGGACGGGAAATGCAGGGTAGAGCCAGCGGTGGCCCTTCCTCTCTGTGGGCCTGTTTGTCGCAACCTGAGCATATGCTATGTTGTGTACAGTCAATGCACTGACTGTACACAGAACAGCATAAGCTTTATTCACAACATGTTTTTCTTATCCCTCCTCGTGCGCGAGCTCACAACATATGTACCCCCCCCTAAACACACACACACACACACACACACAATGACAAACAAATGCACTCACATACATAGAGAGAGACATAGACAGAGGCTCGTACATGTCCCCACAAGCACATACAAAAGCAGTCACGCCCACACGCTCGCGCCCCCACCCCTCGTCCCCCTCCCTCTCCCCCAGGCAAGGCCGCCCTCTTCCCCGCGTCCGACACTGACAAGTCCCTCGGCGAGCAGGCGCTCGCCGCCCTCCGCGGCATCCTCGGCGGCCCCGCCAACGTCCCCGCCCCCGACCAGGTCATCGTGACCCGCTGGCACGCCGACCCCTTCTCCCTCGGCTCCTACTCCTATTCCCCGGCCGGTGCGGACGGTACCGAGCGGGAGCAGCTGGCTGCGCAGGTCAGCAACAGGCTGTACTTCGCAGGCGAGGCAACCAGCGAGGAGGCGCCCTCGACGGTGCACGGCGCGTACCTGACGGGCGAGGCGGCCGCCGGCGCCGCGCTCGCCGACCACGGAAGCAGGTAGTCGGCGGCAGGGTTTTCGGGTGTGGGAGGCCTGGCCGAGCCGCCAGCCGGACAAGTGGGGCAGTGGCTTTGGCGATGTTGGGCCGAGAGTGGGGCGTGCCTGTCGGTCGGGAGCATCCGGGCTTGTTGCATGGGTGCGGCATGCATGGCGCCGTGAGCCGCCGCAGATGCTTACCTTGGGCTCAGCCGCAGCTTGCGTGCTGTGAACATTGGATTGGCTGCCGCCGGTCTGCTGATAGTACCATGCTGGCCGAGAGGACGTGTGACCCACACCTGTCCCGGCACCGTCAGCGCGGCCGGGCATTACTGCCTGGATCTGTTTTAGTGCTTGCCGCCTCCCTTGCCTGCCACCTGTTTGGGCAGATAGCTGCGCTTTTGCAAACCCACAACATGCCCGAGATGCCCTGATGAGGTCACTGCACGCCTGGCACTTTGGAAGAGATGCGCCTCTCTGCCAACATAACGGCTCGCGGCGCTGTGTGCTTGGCGGGCACATGCATAAACCTCTGGGGCCTGGCGGCACCCGGGTCTGGCGCCATGTCCTGCTGCTGCGACTGCTGCTGCAACCCATGTGCCTATGCGCGTGGTGCCACGCGGCCTTTGCTTGCAGGGCTGATCCCCATCAAAAACCGAGCTGGGCACCTGGGCCTTTCAGGCGAGGCTCTTGAACCGGCTGTGCCGGCGATCATGAGCACCATCTTCACCACGGTCCCACCTCCCTGCCCATGCGCTTGAGCTTGCCAGGGCTGCACGCCAACCTTGCCTGCGCCCTGCTTTGCCACTTGGTTTCAGCTCTGTCAAAAATTGTAACAAAAGAATTGCACACCATCCTGCCACGGCGCAATTGGTCAACAAGTAAGGGCGACACATCGCTTGACAGGCCAACAGTCCCATGCACACAACTAGCATGGTCTGGCGTGGTCCTGGTGGATTTTACGTCGCAGCCTGCTAGGGCACTACCCTCTGAATGCTGCAACAACCTCCTCAGTCCAAAGCAGCGCTCTAAGGAGTGGTGTCCATACTGTACCTCCAGCAGGGTGCGAAAGGGGCAGCTGCTGCCAGCAGTGTCTCGTCCGGATAAGTTGGATATCTCAAGACTACCCAGGAGTAGCAGGATGTTGCTTGCCTGGACGCGCACCCTGCCGCTGCGCCCGCACCTGCTGGCCCGTCACCCAGGACTCTGCCCTGAGCAGGGCGCCGGGGGCGCCCGGGCCGCCAGTGTCTCCGGCAAGCTGCCCGCAGGTCGGTGAGGCGCAGTCGGCCTGCTGCTGCTGCTGCTGCTGCTGCTGCTGCTGCTGCTGCTGCTGCTGCTGCTGCTGCTGCTGCTGCTGCTGCTGCTGCTGCTGCTGCTGCTGCTGTTGCCCTGCTGCAATCAAGCTGTCGTCAAGCACTCCCCCGGCCTGGCCTTTATTCTTTGCCATCAACTGCAAGTACCGCCCCGCATCGAGTCGCAGCCCCTTGCCGCCGCTGCCCGCGACCAGGGCCGAGAAGGACCCGTGCCGGCCGCTGCCGGGCGTGCAGCAGCCGCTGTCGGGGTCTGGCAGGGGCGAGGGGCTGCGGCCGCGCTCCGCAGGGCCCGCCAGCTCGTCGCTGGAGCTGCTGCTGTCCCTGCGGGCGCCAGTGCAAGGTCGGTGTAGGGGTCGATTCCACAGCTGCCTGGGTGATCATGCTTGGGCACTTGGTGGTTTTCAGAGCTCTGCCCCCTGAATCACGGCCCGCGCGGGCGCACCATCTCGCTGCCTGATGCCACAGTGCAACAAAGACTGGACGGCCCACACACCCCCCCCC